GGCTGGTGGTGGTGGTGGTGGTGGTGGTGATGGCCGTGATGGAGTGTCAGTGCCAACAACGGCGGTGTCCACGATGGAGTGCAATGCGAGAGTCGAGTCGAGGCGAGGCGACAGCAGTCAGTTGGCGGCGGCGGCGGTTAGGTGTGAGAGCCAGATAGGATAGGATGGAGCGAGTAGTAGAACACCACCACCGAGATAGATAAAGATGGAGGAGGCTTCATTCAATGGCGAGGATGATGATGAGCTGATGTGATGAGGATCATCACCGACAAGTGAAGAAGAGGGCGGCTGCTGCAGTGCACCTTCCCAGGTGCCGATTGGATCAGTCAGAATCGGTGGTGGTGGTGGTGGTCACCGTACAGCAGACACTCACCCAAACACAGTCATAGACAGTGAAGCACACACTTCAGACGCATCTCGCTGGCCTTTGCATCTTTCTCTTTCTTGGCCACTCTTCACAGTGCAACAAGCTGGCGTAAGAGTTGCATCAAGAGTCTGCCAAGCTGCTGCTGCTCACTTGTGGCGGCGGCCGTCTCTCTCTCTCTCTCTCTCTCTCTCTTTCCCACTGTTGCCGACTCTCTCCCTCTCCTCGCCTGGCTACAATCTCCTTCTCTCTCTCTCTCTCTCTGCCTCTCACACTGTGGCAAACAAAACGAGTAAACAAGCGTAGAAATTCGAAACGAGGCACTCTCGCAGAGGACGTGTTTCGACGACGAAAATCGACAAGTGGCCAACAGTGAATGCCTGGCGAGGTGGAGGGTAGTACAGCAGGGGCACAATGGACATATCGGCAAGGATACTCGCAGTTGTTTTTGTTAAATAACTCAATAGTGTTCCAAATTCTCAAATGACCCGGCAGTTGTTTATTCAGCAAACAGTAACTAACATGTTCGTAACCTCAGAGGCATCGCATCAGTGGGTGAACCTGCTTCCTTCTTTAATATTTCAGCAGCAGCAGCAGCAGCAACGGCATTATTATATGATTATGATTATATTTTTGCAGCATCAACAACAGCAGTCGACATTGCATAACTGGCTCTGGTCGATTACAATAATTAAGCGGCGAAATGTGAGCGTCTGCAGTGCAGTGCCTTCCTTGCACTAGCTGCTGCCTGCCTGTTAGTCAGCCAGTCAGTCAGAGCAGAGGCTCAATTATCGACAGGTATGCGGCACTACCGGGCGGCAGCAGGAGTTGCAGGAGTAGGGTTAACGGGACAGAAGTAGGCTAACTAATCGACAGGATCCATTGCACAGGCAGAAACAGCAGCAGTTACCGCCAAAGCAGTGCACACACTTAGTCTCCACTGTCTCTCTGTGTGTGTGCCCACTTGCCCATAATCGACTGCATAATAGAGGAGTAGAAGAGTGGAGCACAACTTCGTACTACCCAAGTGCGACAGCTGTGGAGCAGAGAGGGTAGCACCATCATCAACAACAATAACCAGTTGGGCAAGATCNGAGGCTCAATTATCGACAGGTATGCGGCACTACCGGGCGGCAGCAGGAGTTGCAGGAGTAGGGTTAACGGGACAGAAGTAGGCTAACTAATCGACAGGATCCATTGCACAGGCAGAAACAGCAGCAGTTGCCGCCAAAGCAGTGCACACACTTAGTCTCCTCAGTCTCTCTGTGTGTGTGCCCACTTGCCCATAATCGACTGCATAATAGAGGAGTAGAAGAGTGGAGCACAACTTCGACTACATACTACCCAAGTGCGACAGCTGTGGAGCAGAGAGGGTAGCACCATCATCAACAACAATAACCAGTTGGGCAAGATCAGATGGTCTAGAAATGGCCGTCGGTGGCAGTGTGTTCAGTGCACAGGCAGACGGGCACCATCTTGCGGACCATGACATTCGGACACAATCAGCCCTCTTTCTCTCTTTCTCTCTCTTTCTCCCTTCGACCCCTTTTTATCCAAGTGCTGCTTAACTAGCACTGGTGGTGGTGGTGGTGCCGTCACGTTTGGAAGACACTGTAATATCGTCTCAGCTTTCAGGCAGCAGCAGCAACAGCAGCAGCCTTTCACCAGCCTCCACCCTAAACGCCGGTAAATGGTTCGCCAATCTTGGCTGTGCACAGCAGTGGATGTGCCAGCACTCCATTTTGAGGACATCAGCAGCAGCAGCAGCATCGGCATCATCATCAGTCAGTGCTGCAGCAACAGTAGCCGCCAGTGATCATGAGTCAGTGGACAAGCTGCTGCTGCTGCTGTGGAAGATGTGCTGGTCTTGACTGCAGTGCATTGTGTCCTGCCCGCCATTGTGTCCACCGCCAGACTGGAGTGCACAATGCTGCAGCACTTTTATTGCGTAGCACACACGTATCGTCGCCATCGTTGTCGTCGTCGGCGGCGACTGCCTAATTGAAAAGAGTCGACAGACACAGGGGAAGAAGGATTGAGTGAGTGCTCTCCTAGATGTGTGGATGCAAATTGAAGTACTGAGCTTTAAATTGTGCTCTCCAGCATCATAAACGAGGGAAACAAGCAGACAAGCAACAGAAATGTCCTTTTTGCTGCTTTTCTGAAACCGCCTGTACAGTTCACTTTAAAGTCATCAACAGCACAAAAAAGTTCAGTATGGTTGATGCAAAAAAAGTGCGCCACACACAGTTTGCTAGCTGTGATTTTGTCTCATTGGAAAAAAGTATTGAGCTATTTTGAATTAACTACCGCCATTGTCTCTTGCCTTCTTCCCTCTTTTTTTTGCAACAAATTCACTATATTTAGTGGAGATTTTGCACTGCGTTCTTTCCCATGAAATAGCTACGGCAATGGCGACCACCACCATCACCTCAATGGCAATGTACAACACGTATAAACATGCACACAACACAACACACGAGACCGTTTCCTTTCTTGTACAGCAGCAGCAACAATCTGCCAATCTCCCTCTCTTTCTCCATTTCACTATAAATCTGCCACGCTCGAGCATTATTGATTTTGACGAGCCACATCCGGTGGAGAGGAGAAAAGCTTTCCATACTGGTGTGCATGTTTGCCTGCCTGCTTGTTTGTCTGATTGTTTGGCTGAAATGTACGGCAGACCGCCTGTGGATAGAGAGAAAGAACATTGAGACGGTGGAATAAGAAGGCAAAAGCAATGAAAGGATTGCCATTGATTGAATGAGCAGAGTAGCGGATAAGTGGCTGCATGAGAAAGAAAGAGAGAGAAAAGTTAGTGTTTGAGTTGGGTGCTAAGGTGGCAACAGAGTGGCACTCGTCAAGTGATCGATTGTTGTTTCGATCTCCCCACTCATTCCCATCTATCCATCCATCCTTTCCTCTCTCAATTGCCAATTGAGCTGTAGAAGGCTGCTGCAGGGGCACGCAGACAAACAGACAGATGCACTCGTTTGCACCAATGTTCTCGCTTCTCCAAGGTGTCCTTCATCGAACGCCACAGTGTTCCAGAATGTGCACTTCTTACTTTTTGCCGCCAATCATGCTTCAATCCAGGAAGCAGACGCACCCTCAGAATTTTTTTCTGCCTGGCAGCCAGCTCGCTAGATGTCGTCGGCTGAACTGAACCGAACTGAAGCGATGAAGCTTCTGCACAGCACAAGCACATGGTGGCCTTCAATTTTGTTTCACTAGCTCTACCCATACGCTGCACTCAGTCAGTCAGTCAGTTCGTGTGTCTATCTCTCCGTCGTATCTTTGCGTATGTTTGTCAGTTTTCCACCGCCGCCACTATCAAGACCACCACCACCACTCTCCCTTCGTTTCCTCGTTTGAACAGCAGCAGCAGCAAACTACACCTCGAACAGACAGACGCACAGCAGCCTACAACAGGTGGTTTATGCAACTGCACGGCAACTGAGTGACTGTGAACACACCTGAGTGAAGGTGATCGTAAAGAGAAAGAGAGAGAAGGTGACTTTTACCGCTCAACAGCAAATCTAGTGAAGCCAGTGAAGAGTGTCTTCTGTACACTTTAAAGAAGTGTCATTATTAGGTAACCGCTCCAGTCAGTCAAGTCCCCACTAGTGATATCCACCAATCCACCCGTCTTTGCCCTTTCTTCAAATACCCCGATTGCATCATGTCCGATTCTTCTTCAAGTCTCCTCCCGCCGCGCATTCCCAAGCACCGGCGGGAATCGGTGGCGGCGAACACGCTGGACCACCTCAGTCTGCTGGACATTGACACTGAGGTCGCTTTTGAGCGACTGACCGGCATCATCTGCACCATTGGGCCGGCCTCTCGCGATGTGCCCACGCTGATCAACATGATCAACTGCGGCATGAACATTGCCCGGCTGAACTTTAGTCATGGAACGCATGAGGTAACACATAACAATCTTTTTCTGATCCAATAAGTAATCATAACTGTTTTTGCAATTCACCAGTACCACAAGGAGACCATTGCCAACATTCACCGAGCCGTGGATGTGGTCAGCGAGCAGCAGGGCATGCAGAACTGGCCAGTGGCCATCGCCCTAGATACCAAAGGACCGGAAATTCGCACCGGTGTTCTCGAGAGTGTAAGTGCTCTGTTAGTTTTTGTAGTCCCCATTACTCATAAATTGTTCTCACAGGGGCGAACAGCGACTGTTGACCTGAAGAAGGGCGACCCGATTCTGCTGACCACCAACGAGGACTTCAAAGAGCGCTGCACCGCCAAAGTCCTCTACGTCGACTATGCGAACATCGTCAAGGTGGTGAAAGTCGGCTCACAGGTTTTCATCGATGACGGCCTCATCTCGGTGAAGGTGCGCGCCATTGAAGGCGACACGCTGCAGTGTGAGGTGGAAAACGGCGGCTCGGTGGGCTCAAACAAGGGCGTCAACTTGCCCGGCACGGCGGTGGATCTGCCGGCACTTTCCGAAAAGGACAAGTCCGACCTACTTTTCGGCATCGCCGAGGGCGTCGACATGGTTTTTGCTAGCTTTATCCGCAACGGTGCCGCCGTGCAGGAGATTCGCCAGTTGCTCGCCGACAACGGCGACCCCTCCATCAAGATCATCTCAAAGGTGGAGAACCACGAGGGCGTGAAGAACATCGACGAGATCATTCGCGAGTCAGACGGCATCATGGTGGCCAGAGGCGACCTGGGCATTGAGATTGCCCCGCAGAAGGTGCTCCTGGCGCAGAAGATGATGATCGCCAAGTGCAACATGGCGGGAAAGCCGGTGATCTGCGCCACGCACATGCTCGAATCGATGTGCCTCAAACCGCGGCCGACCAGGGCAGAGGTGAGCGACGTGGCTAATGCCATTCTCGACGGCAGCGACTGTGTCATGCTCAGCGGAGAGACGGCCAAAGGTGAGTTGAAAAAAAAGTTGTTTGCTTCAAAACAAAAAACCATAATCATTGTTTCTGTGCTTAGGCGAGTACCCAATCGAGTCTGTGAAGATGATGAGCGCCATCAGTCTGGAGGCAGAGGCGGCCATTCACTCGAGGGTAAGTTTAATTTCAGTATTTTTTATTATTTAAAACTAAAACTTACTTTGTACCTCCTTTCAGAATCTGTTTATCGAGTTGACCACGAAGGCGACAGTGCCAGTGGATCCGNTCGAGGGTAAGTGTGATTGCTGTGATTCCTTAAAAAACTAAAACTTACTTTGTACCTCCCCTCAGAATCTGTTCATCGAGCTGACCACAAAGGCGACAGTCCCGGTGGACCCAACCACTGCCACCTGCATCGCCGCGGTGAACGCCTCGCTGAAGTGCGCCGCCGCTGCGATCATCGTCCTGACGACCACTGGCAAGTCGGCGCACATCACCGCCCGCTTCCGACCTCGCTGTCCGATCATCGCCGTCTCCCGCTACACCAAGGCCACCCGACAGGCGCACCTGCACCGAGGCATTCTGCCCATCTGGTACCCCCACGGGGCGCAGTCTGACTGGACGGCGGACATTGACGTGCGAGTTAACTTTGCGCTCGACTTTGGCCGTCGTCGAGGCTTCATCAAGGCGGGCGATCCGGTGGTGGTGATGAC